AGTGTTAGTTGGTGTTAAATGACATTTTGTTATGAGACTTTACAAAAACGTAAAAATTTAACTCAATAAAAAAACTCATAGTGTATTTGGTTCGTAAAAAAACATTTAATAAGAAAACACAAATAAAGGAAATAAAAATAAAGAAAATAATACACAAAAGAGAAAAGAAACAAAAAAGGAGATTTTTATACAAAAAGAAAAGCTTTGTTTGGAAATTGTTTTGAATGGAGGGTACCTGTGGTTAGGTTTATTTCGGTCGCCCTCTGCCTGTGTCCCAAGACGCGGAACTGCGGTAGTTCGACCTCACTGCTCATGCCAACACTACTCAGTCCATCTCTCCAGAAGTAACGGATATCTCTCATCGTGTAACCGACTTAATAATTCAAATGTTTAATGAGGTTTAGTTTGTTTTATATTTTTTTTTGGTTTTGATTTCGTTTGGTTTCAATTCGTTTGATTTGGTTTGATTGGATTTGATTTTGGTTTTGGTTTCGATTTGTTTGTCAATTCAATTCATATGGTTTCATTGGATTCATTTGAATTTGTTAAAATTTGTAACATTGTTTGATTTGGTTTGTCATTGGGTGATTGATTGATTAATTGATTGTTTGATCGATTGATTGATTGTTTGATTGATTGATGATTTGATCGAGTGATTTGTTTTGATTTCATACGATACGTTAACATACACACATACAAAAGAAATATATATTTATTTATATATTTTAAAAAGTATAACAATATAATAAAAATGACATTTAATCCCAATTTAAGTTTAAAATTGTTTTTATTTTTTTTTATTTTTGTATATTTTTTGCAATAATGAAAAATGAATAAATTATGAAAATAAAATTTAATTGTAAAAAAAAAATAAAAATGTTTTCGAAATTTAAATATTTTTTTAAGGAAATCAAAATAGAAATTCCAAATAAAAAAATCATTTAATTGGAATAAAAAATAACTTGTTTTATTTTTAAAAAATGAAATCGTTTAATAATAATTATGCAAATGTGTAATGAGGTGTTTTTGTAGAGAAATGTTTAAACAATATGTTGTTGTTGTTTTTAATAATGATACTTAATAATTTGTGTTTGAAATAATATTTACGTTTTTTAATGTTATTTTTTTTATAATAAATCTTTCAGGCTTAATGACACAAAAGGGTGGTGATTGATTGATAGTGGTGGTGGTGGTGGGTGCTTCGTTTAGTTTTTGATTTTTATTTTAAAATATTTGAAATTTGTTTTTTTTTTTTTTTTTTTTTTTTTTATAAGAATATTTTTTTTTTTTGATTTTGTTATTATTTTAGTTAGTTTTTGTTAAAAGTTTAGAGGGGGATGATTTGATACGATTTGGTTGGTACCAGATTTTGCAAATTTTCCAAAAAAGCAAAAACAATTGCAACTGGTTTTAATGTAAACGAACAAACGAAAATTGAAACTAAAATAAAAAAGATCTAAGGAAAAAAATAATACGTTTTAGAAGAAGATTCTTCCAAGAGGCAATAAAATGTTTGAATGAAAATGCTTTAATCAAATTAAAAACCAAAAATGTTTATCGACCGTTTTCAATTGTTTATAATTCAATCGATTAAAATTTTGTTTAACCAACTATTGAATATTAATGATTTGTTTTTGTTTGTTTTTGAAAATGTTTTTAACAAATAATTTTTTCTATAAATAATTGTTTTTGTTTTGTCTTTTAACTTCTACTTTTGGTTTTGTAATTTGTTATGGTAATTTTCGACTTTGTATTTTTGTAAATAATTGTAAAATACATTTGATTGTTAAGAATCAACCTTCTGCGGTTGCTGTATTAGAGAAGGCGACCGAAAACCAACCAATTTTAGCTAAACCGAAAATGTTTTTTTTTCTTTTAGTTTTAAACAATTTAGAATTTCTATTCAAAGAATTTAGTTTTTGTTAAAGAAAATTGTTGTTGTAGAAAAGATAAATTCCAAAAAATTTGTTTCTTTTAGTAGTTTTTAAATAGTTCTTCTAGTGATATTTTTTACTCAAATGAATTTTTAAATAAATAATAGACCAACTAAATAGTTTAATTAAATTAAAAAACTACATTAATAAATTTAAGAAAATGTCTTTATAAAACTCAAAACTAACTCTTTGACATACAATTCTTTAATATTTTTTTTTTAATTTTTTAAATAGAAATTTCTTTTTGTTTTCCTGTTCTTGAAACATTTTCGGCTGTTTAGTTTTCTTTTTTTAAAAAATATTATACGGCAAAATATAAAAACAAAATTTAATTGAAAAAAAGGAAATTAAACAAAATATATAGTTTAATTATTTAATTTGAGTTTATTTTTATTTTTTTTTCTTAATCTTTATAAAAATATTAGTAGCTTTTTTATTTCTTATTTTTTTTTTCAACTTTTATATTTTGGTTTTAGTTCGGGTTTTGTTTTGTTATTGGAATTTTTATTAAAAAAAGCAAGTGGTAGTTTAGTGCCAGTTTAGAAAAAGAAATAATTTCCTCATTTTTTTTTTTAAGTTTAAAGTTATTTGTTTGATTTCGTTGTGAAAATAAAACTGATTTTTCGTTTGTTTCAATTTTATATAGAGTTTTGGTTTTCTTTTGAGTGGTCTATTGTTGTTTGATTGGATTTCAAATGTGTTGAAAAACGTATTTTTTAACGAACAAACAGCGCGAATTTTTTTGTATTTTTTTAGAAAAGAATAAAAATTGTTTTGGGTTAGAAAGAAGTCCTAAGTTTTTGTTGGATTTAATAGGAAATTTAAAGCAATTTATTAGTATAAAACAATTAACTTTGATTTAAATATATTTTCTAAAGGTTTAAATTGAAATGAATATTCTATTCCTTAAAAAAAGTTTATACATAGTATAGTTAGTTAGTTAGTTAGTTAGTTAGTTTGTTAGTTAGTAGTTAGTAGTAGTTAGTTAGTTAGTAGTTAGTTAGTTAGTTAGTTAGTTAGTTAGTTAGTTAGTTAGTTAGTTAGTTAGTTAGTTAGTTAGTTAGTAGTTAGTTAGTAGTTAGTTAGTTAGTTAGTTAGTTAGTTAGTTAGTTAGTTAGTTAGTTAGTTAGTTAGTTAGTTAGTTAGTAGTTAGTTAGTAGTAGTTAGTTAGTAGTTAGTTAGTTAGTTAGTTAGTTAGTTAGTTAGTTAGTTAGTTAGTTAGTTAGTTAGTTAGTTAGTTAGTTAGTTAGTTAGTAGTTAGTTAGTTAGTTAGTTAGTTAGTTAGTAGTAGTTAGTTAGTTAGTTAGTTAGTTAGTTAGTTAGTTAGTAGTTAGTTAGTAGTTAGTTAGTTAGTTAGTTAGTTAGTTAGTTAGTTAGTTAGTTAGTTAGTTAGTTAGTTAGTTAGTAGTTAGTTAGTTAGTTAGTTAGTTAGTTTAGTAGTAGTTAGTTAGTTAGTTAGTTAGTTAGTTAGTTTAGTTAGTTAGTTAGTAGTTAGTTAGTTAGTTAGTTAGTTAGTAGTTAGTTAGTTAGTTAGTTAGTTAGTTAGTTAGTAGTTAGTTAGTTAGTTAGTTAGTAGTTAGTTAGTAGTTAGTAGTTAGTTAGTTAGTTAGTTAGTTAGTTAGTTAGTTAGTTAGTTAGTAGTTAGTTAGTTAGTTAGTTAGTTAGTTAGTTAGTTAGTTAGTTAGTTAGTTAGTTAGTTAGTTAGTAGTAGTTAGTTAGTTAGTTAGTTAGTTAGTTAGTTAGTTAGTTAGTTAGTTAGTAGTTAGTTAGTTAGTTAGTTAGTTAGTTAGTTAGTAGTTAGTTAGTTAGTTAGTTAGTTAGTTAGTTAGTTAGTTAGTTAGTTAGTTAGTTAGTTAGTAGTTAGTTAGTAGTTAGTTAGTTAGTTAGTTAGTTAGTTAGTTAGTTAGTTAGTTAGTTAGTTAGTAGTTAGTTAGTTAGTAGTTAGTTAGTTAGTAGTTAGTTAGTTAGTTAGTTAGTTAGTTAGTTAGTTAGTTAGTTAGTTAGTTAGTTAGTAGTTAGTTAGTTAGTTAGTTAGTTAGTTAGTTAGTTAGTTAGTTAGTTAGTTAGTTAGTTAGTTAGTTAGTTAGTTAGTTAGTTAGTTAGTTAGTTAGTTAGTTAGTTAGTAGTAGTTAGTTAGTTAGTTAGTTAGTTAGTTAGTTAGTTAGTTAGTTAGTTAGTTAGTTAGTTAGTTAGTTAGTTAGTTAGTTAGTTAGTTAGTTAGTTAGTTAGTTAGTTAGTTAGTTAGTTAGTTAGTTAGTTAGTTAGTTAGTTAGTTAGTTAGTTAGTTAGTTAGTTAGTTAGTTAGTTAGTTAGTTAGTTAGTAGTTAGTTAGTTAGTTAGTTAGTTAGTTAGTTAGTAGTTAGTAGTTAGTTAGTTAGTTAGTTAGTTAGTTAGTTAGTTAGTAGTTAGTTAGTTAGTTAGTTAGTTAGTAGTTAGTTAGTTAGTTAGTTAGTTAGTTAGTTAGTTAGTTAGTTAGTTAGTTAGTTAGTTAGTTAGTTAGTTAGTTAGTTAGTAGTTAGTTAGTTAGTTAGTTAGTTAGTTAGTTAGTAGTTAGTTAGTTAGTTAGTTAGTTAGTTAGTAGTTAGTTAGTTAGTTAGTTAGTTAGTTAGTTAGTTAGTAGTTAGTTAGTTAGTTAGTTAGTTAGTTAGTTAGTTAGTTAGTTAGTTAGTAGTTAGTTAGTTAGTTAGTTAGTTAGTTAGTTAGTTAGTTAGTTAGTTAGTTACTGCTGTCTGTTCTGTTCAAGGTAATTGCTTTATATATTGCAATGGGGCGTATGACTATTATTTATTTTAAAAATAATACTCATACGCCTTGGCGTACTATATAATATTGGAATTCCAAACTATATATCATAAGGACTTCTTTCTAAATTACATAATTTTTTTATTCTGAATGAGTTTATTTGATTTGATTTTCTCTTTCATAAAACTAAAACTTTTTTCTTTTTTTTGGTATAGAGTGTAATGTTTTATTTTAAAATTAATATGGTTGTTTGTTTAGGTAGTAAATACATACATAAAATACTGATAATTTCCATAAGAGTAATAATAAAAAACTGGTACTTACAACTTTCAATTTCGATGTGACACAATTGGCGATCCATAGGAAAGTATTGTAGATTCATAGGACATGATGCAGTAATAGTCAATCTAAGAGAAATATTTACATGATGATCATTTATCAACAACCACAAAAAGAGAGAGAAAAACAGAAATACACATTATTAATATAGAATTTAAATTTAGATAAAAAAAAACAATTAAACAAATGACATTGAAAGCATTTTTAGCATAACTGCTAAACTATTTACGAGACATTTTACCTAATAAGTTATTATTAATATTTTTTAATTTATTTTTTTTTTGGTTTTACAAGAGCAAGTGTTACTTAAAAGAGCGAAATACAAGTTTATTTAGTTTAGTACTAGTTTTCATACTAGACAATTTGTGATGATATTTAGCGAGTTCAATTGGATGAAATTAACAAAAGTTCATATTTATTTTAAATAAAACTTAAAAGGGAAAAACGTGATGTACGAAAATAGTTAGAGATAGATAGATTAAGAGAGAGATAGTTGTTAAGAGAGTTAAGTGTGTGAGAGAAATTATATAAAAAAATAAAAAAAGTATAATAAACTATATAATTATTTCATTACAACATTCATACTGGTGTAGAGTTAAATTATTTAGTTTCAAATTCTTTGATTACTAAAGGGTAACTAATAGTTTTGATTTAAAACTTTTAAGAAGAACTTTACATAACTTATTGCTGCATTATGGTAATTAATTTTTATTTTATTATATTTCATTTATGTATGGAGTTTATAGTTTGAGTTTGAAATTTGCTGAATTGAGTAATAATGTAGGGTACTTGATAAATTATTAATTGGCTTTATTTGTTTAGTTTATATTAATATACTTACGTTTTTTTTGAGCCTTTATGTTTTTTTTTATTAAAGTGTTTTATAACAAACTTACAAACTCTTGGCCTGTGTAGAATCCTTTACTAGAGTCAAGTATTTGTTTAGCTTTCTGTTAGGTTTCGGATTTCTTTGGTATGTTTTTTTTATTTTATTATATTGCTTTTTGTTGGAGGGGGATTTTTGGACAGATTCTTGTTTTAAGGTAGTAGAAAAATTAAAACTGGAGAAATTTCCTTTGTATGTGTTTTTTTTAGCTTTTTTTTTCTTAGCAGAAATTTCTCCATTAGTCAAACCTTTTAATGGTGTAGCAAAACACACTTTATGTAAACTTTTATGTATTATTATTATTTGTATTTGCTTTTTGTTGATTTAGTTATTGCTGTTTTTGTTTATTGTTTTCTTTATAAATGTTAACGTATTTGTTGTATTTTTTTAAGTAGTTGATAAATAAAGAAAATTAAATTATAAATTATGAACATGCTTTAAAAACAGGGATGAAAAATATGCATTTTTTTAATATTTGTGTCAATGAACTTTAAATTGTTTGTTTTAAAGTCAGACATACGTATGTTTGAAAATAATAAGTATTTTGATTAAAACGTAGGTTGATCTTTATGATTTGTAATTTCGATCATATTGATTATTATATGAGTTATTCAGGACTTTTGACTTATGGGTCTATTATCCAGTCTATGGACGAGTCCTTTGGATATTCTATTAACTAGTCAATAGATTAGTCAGCAGACTGAACCATTGTATAGTTTCTTGACTATTCGATTGTCTAGTTTATTAAACCATATAGTAGCTAGTCTATGACTAAATGACTTAAACCGGAGACCTATCAGCAGACTAGTCCATAGACAGTTATAGACTATCATCTAATTGAATAACTAATTTATAGACCTGGCTATTAACTTTTCTATTGAGCAGTATTATGATTAGCCTATTGAGAAGTATATTGGCTGGGCTGTTGACCAGACTATGGACTAGTCTACTGACTAGTCTATTTACTAGCTATGAACTATTCTATTGATTAGTATATGGACTACTCCAATAACTAATAAATAAAATGGTCTATTGACTATTTAAGTTAATAGTCTATTGATAAGGAAGATCCTGAAAGATTTCCTCATCAAAATCAAAGAATATTAACAAAATAATAACTACCCAGCAAAAACGTTTATTAATAAATAAGTGGTTAAATGGTAAAATTTACTTGCACAAGTAGTAGGCAAGTAGTTACCCAAAACTTAGTCAGTCGTATAAAAAAACGTACTTCTTTAAGGTGAAGATGATTAATGTACGAGAAAGAGTGAGTGAGTGAGTGAAAGAGGCTGTGCCGAACATCATAGTTTTAAATTTAAGATTTTTTCTTTCGTTTATAAATACTTTCCCATCTCTGTGTCAAAGAAATAAATTCAAAACAACAAACACAAGTACTAAAAGTTGTTGTAGTTGTTTCCAGCGGTTTATTGTTTATTATAAACAAGCAAACACAACGTACACACAAACCACCGCAATCTGAACGATGTTGCTGTTTTCATGCATATGCATCCAAAAAATACAAATTTTTTGACGAAATTTTCAGAGGTTGTGTACGATTTTTGCTCATATCTCTGTTATTTATGAACCGATTTTGCTGATTTTAAATAGAAAACTCTTCGAAAGCATGTTAGATAGAAGTATTGAAGACTGAAAAGATATTTGTGGTCATGGCTTAATTGATTCCGCTATCTATAAGGATCCAGAATATATATATATAATGACAAACTTATATATACCCTTCTCAAGCCCCCTTGATGAACTTGACTCTCATCTCGGTGCATTGCAATCCCGAGTAAAGATGTGCTACCAGTACCTCTAGTCTGCCGGGACTATAAACTGGTAATGACATTTCACTCCGTGGCTACCTTGGATGATTTGACATGGGGTCTAACCAGAGCACCACATAATCTGTTACTACGCGTGGCCAGCTTCCCGCAGGACTTGTCCTGTATGGTCAGTTGGTTGAGGTTCCTTCGGAATCCACGTAGTGGCTGTGGTTTAAACCCAAATTCGCGGAAGGACATCACATACCCCAAAGAGGAGTGACTGTGGGACTAAGCGTTGGAAATGAGTTACGGTTAATTGTATATGATACAGGATGAATATAAGAGTACACGGAACTCATCCGCCCGTATACCTAGAGTGAGTCTGTCGTATGTTGTTCTCTTATGAGTGAGTCGGATAAATGAGAAGAGTGCTGGGTTGAATGGCGATGGATGAAAGGTATCTTATACAAGTGATACCATTGAATTGTCCAGGTATGTTCAGAATAAACTCTGTTCATTCCAGAATTATTACAGTGTATCACTGTGAGTAGGAACAAAGTCTCGGCTTATTTGATTCCTTGCCGACTCAACAGAGGCCATCCCATCTGCGTGGTTGTAAACGGAAGTGATGTTTTTGCATCTCGGAAGTTAAGCAAAGGGACAGCAATGGTTAGAGATTTGAGCAAAGTGCACGTATACTGTACCGGAACTTGCATATAAGTAAGAAGCACAATGGGGCGGTGGTGATTCATCACAAAAACTCACCTAGTGGTTGAAAAAGACCACCGTGAAATAGGCCAACACGGCAGGAGTTCACGTAAAGCACTTTGTCATTAATTAGAAAGTGTTTATATAACACATTATTAATAAGACGTTATTAGACTACTTCTATGTAATCATGACTATATATACCAGTCATTGAAAAGTATGTTAATAGGTAAGGGGTTATAATTGAAAGTCATTGCCAAGTTTTTGCTAGGTACTTTATGGACTTGACTTTGACTAGTCTATTGACAGGTTTACGAGGATTATGCCAATTATATTTATATATATTTATATTATAAAAATAAAAATTTTTATAAAAATAAAAATTTTTATAAAAATAAAAATAAAAAATTCAGAATATTAAAAAACGTATAATTTTGTCTATAATAAAATATAAATTTGAATGAAAAATCTAAATTTTTCATTAAAAGATCAACATTTTCGTTAAAACTCAACATTTTCATATAATTCCAAAAAATTCAAAATTTTAAACATTTTTCATAAAAATTCGACATTTTACTAAAAAAAAATAATTTTTTAAAAATTTTGATTTTTTCGAACATTTCTTAAAAAACTAAAAATTTTCATAAAAATCTGAAATTTAACAATAATTTTTAAAATACTTGTACAACTTTCTTAAATTTTCATCCCTGTTTAGAAGATAAAATGATTTAATTATAAAAATTTGAAAAGTGATCTTGAGCGAGACAGAAAGATGTATTAAGAGAGATAGAAAAATATATATTGTGAGGTTTTTTGAGGGTAAAGATTACATTATGAGGTGATTATGATGATAAATATATGTATGTAAGTTTAAAAAACAAAACTAATTTTCTCTTTATATCAATAAAAACCATAACGCCAATTGAACTCACTTATAGAAAAAAATCTTTTTCACTTTTTGTAGAAGTATATTTTGTTTCCAAAGCAACTTAAAAGTGAAAATGATTTTTAGCTTAGAATTAGAATTTTTGTTTGAAAAATAAAATCGATAAAGTAATTTAAACACATTAATATAGAATATATTTCTTTATAAAATTGAAATAGTAAAAAATATTTAATTAGTTTTAAAATTTCTTTTCAGCTCAATGATTTACGATAATTAACCTTTTAGTTTTTTTTTTTGATTAATTGCACAAAATAACACACACACACAGTTTAGAGTTTGATTAGTTAACAAAAAAGGAAAGGAAATAAATGTTCAACAAAAAAACTTTAACGACATTTATATTTTTATAGTTATTAATAATATATTTGTTTTAAAAACAAAAATCATAAAATAAAAACATAAAAGAAATACTGAAATTTTGATTTAATGTTAGATTGTTTTGTTGATTGCTTTCTTTTACCTAATACTTCTTGTTATTGATCCAGAATGGTGAACACGTATGAATTCATTGCTGGTTGTGGCAATATGAAAATATGATTGTTTTTCATTTACGAAAAAGGTGTCAGGTACCCAGATATTTTTAATGAACTCTGATCCAACCGATAGTGTTTCTACACCAGGTCGTTTTCTATACGCTAAACGAGGATCGGTCCAAAATTGACGAAAGTAAAAATCCAATGTAAAGTCCTTTTGATTGTTTAATTTTATGCGGAAAAAACAATCAATATTTGTGATGGTTTTGTTTTTATTTTCAGTAGTAGTTTTTGTGTTTTATTTTAACAAAAAACCAATTTTATTTTGTTATTTGTGTAAAACAAATAATTGTTATTTTTTTAAATTGTGTTATTATTTGGTTTTGGTTGTTAAATAGGGGGGAAAGGCAAAAAAGGTAGAGAAAAAAAATATATATAAATGTATTAGTTATGTTTGTTTACTAAAAATCTATTCAATACAAATTGTTATATAATTAAATTAAAATTTAAAAATTATATTAATTAAAATTATAAATTTTATATATTTTAAACAAATAAAACGTGCTTTTGATTTTTTTCTTTTATCTTTTTTTTTTCAATTTCAAACATGCATTTTTAATTATAATTTCACAAGCATTTTTTAATAATATTAAGTTTAGTTATTGTAATTGTTTTGTAAATTATAAAAAAAATATTAAAGCTTAAAAAGCATTTGGTTTATTAAATAAAAATTATAAACAAAAAATTATAATTAAATTAACACACATAGACAGGCAGAGTGTTTTATTTTATTAAATTTATAAATATTCCATTAATATAGTTTAAAGTAATAAAAAAAATTCTTAATAAAGTAAATATTTACAACATTCAATTTTGTTCAATTTTACACATACATTTATGTTTATATTTACATATTATTATTTTATGATATATATTTACAAATTAACAAAAATTATACAGAATCCTCTCACAAATACTTGTTTTGTAAAGTACTTTTCTTTTCATTTGTGTTTCCGTTTCCTTTTATTTTAAATGTTTTATAACGTTGGTTTTTGTTTTGTGTCTTTTAGTAAATTTTATTTTTGGACTACAACAACTACGGTTTCTAGAAGTATGGATTTATATTAGTAAATATTTGTTTAGTTCTTTTTTTATAATATTTAATAACACTTTGCTACATAGATTTCATAAATAACACATATGTATAAAAGGTGATTGAATTCGTGATGAGTGATGAGTAGTTATACATAGGCAAAATTGGTTGGTAGACAGACTGGTTGGTAGACAGATAGAAAGACAAGCAGACAGAAATACAGATAGACAGATAGATAGACAGGCAAACAAACGGACAGACAGAGAGACATATAGATAGACAGACAGATAAATAGACAGACAGACAGACAGACAGACAGACAGACAGACAGACAAACAAACAGACAAGAATTTCTGAGTGCTTAACGTGAACACCTTATTTCACGGTGGAGTACTCGAGCTATTTAATCTCTTGCCAAGTTATCACGTTGCGGAATGAAACGGACAGAACGATAGACATATAGACAGAGATAGATAAACATACAGAGAAATAGATAGACAGACTAGAATGTCTTAGTGCTTAACGTGAACACCTTATTTCACGTTGGAGTACTCGAGCTATTTGATCTCTTGCCAAGTCATCACGTTGCGGAATGACAAGTAGCATAATGCTACCTGGACAGGCGGAGATTTGCCGGACGAATCAAAAATGAGGAATCTCCGAAACCCCAACAAATGCGCCTGATGAATCATAATCTCGGTTTGACACCGACAAGGACCAACACATATACGCATTGTCATAAGCGACTCAGTAGCGTCCCCATCCTCCAATGTTCCGCCAGATAGATTTCTCGTTCAGCAGATAGGCATACAGGTAGATATACGAACAGCCAGACGGACAGGCGGATCGAAAGACTGGCAAATAAACAGACGGATAGATAGACGTACCGAAAGACTGGCAGATATGTATATAGACAGATGATCGGAGGGACAAAAATGGACTTGGGCCAAGATGTGGAATTATTAACTTTTTGGTAACATTGGGGAAGTGATTTTTAATGCCATTAACATGAACTGAACCTGTGACCTCTTAAATAATAGAACTTTAATATACAATTAATAAAATGAAATAACTTCATAAAATCTTTGTAGCATAGTGTTATTATTATCAATTTGTTAGTATAAAAATGTGAGTAAAATGAGCAAAATATAGATGGGGAAGGTAAAAAATATATTAGCAAGTCTTGGGGGTAAAGGTAAGGTTTTGTTTAGAAAAAAAAATTTAAAGAAATAATAATTTTATTTTTTAGAAAAAAAGTAAAATTAGTTATAGACAGTATAACATATTTTATATTAAATTAAAATTCTATAAAATCACGTTTTGTAGTGATCATATGTTGCTAAAGTATTTTATTTATTTTCAAGCTTATTCTCTATTAGAATTCGCCAGAGGACTGTACGAGTCTTTATTATTACTAAATTTTATATTTTTTTTTTCATATGTTGATTTTTTTCATTTATTTTATAAACTAAATGTATTGATTTGGTTTCCATTCAGGTTAGTTTTTTTTCTGTTGATTTTTTCTTTTAAAGCCAAACTTAAAAAATTAAATTATAGGTAATTATGAGCTATTTGCAAATAAATTATTGTAATGTTTGTGGATGAATGTATGTGTGTGTATGTTAGTGTATAGGTAACAATATTTTAAAGTAATTTCGAAATTCTTAAAAGTAAATTTCATTTTAAATAAAAAGCTTAATATAAAAGAACATTAAAGCAGGATTTCATAGAGAAAGTATTAAGTAAAGAAAAAATATGATAAAAAATCTATAATTTTTCCTTCTCTACATCATTTTGAATACAGACACTTTTTATATTTTGTAGATTAGATTCTGTTTATTCAGAAAAGAAAGCCTTGGTCTGTCAATACAAATCTTAAGGTATGTTCACACTTATCAAATATTTGGCGAAAACGTATTTCAATTAAGATTTTTACATAAATATGATATAATTTAGAAGAGATTGCATTAAAATGTTGTTTTCCATATAAGGTACTGTTATTGGAAAACAGTTTCAAATATTATTATCAGTATTTTTTTTTATCAATTTATTACATATTTATAAATATATTCCAGTTTTAAAAAAACCCGGCTTTAATGTTATTAAACTAGATGTTTGTGTATGTGAGAATAAATCAAGTTGTGCTCTTAATTTTTTCAGTGTATTAAGTGTAAATCGATTTACCAACAACATTCTTTAACACTTTAGGGAAAATTAAAAAAAAAATCTGTTAAACTTTCTCCTGCATTATTAGAAGATTTGTCAGATTTTTTTAAATTTTAACAAAATTTTTAAGATTTTCTCTAAAATGTTAAAAATATGTTTGAGACGATCTTGTATATTCCATGTTATGTTATATACATATATATTTTTGCAGTACTTTAAGTTTTATTTTTAACTTATTTTTTATATTTAATATTTTTTTTTTGTTTTAACGTGAAGAATATGTGTGTGTGTATATTTTAGTCACATTTTTGTGTGTTTTTATTGAAATAAAATAAGAAAAGCAACTGAAAATTTAATAAATTATATAAAAATTATACAAAAATTATTAAAAATAAAGACATTATTATTTAAGTGGTAAACAATAGGGTTTCTTTTATCCCACAAAAATTCTTCTTAAAACATTTATTTTTTTTTAGATTTTTCGATGTAGAGCATAAAATTTTAATAAAAAATTTACTAAACTGTAATTCAAATTATTTGAATGTTACTTTCCTGCACAATACTAAAAGTTTGGAAAGTTGATGGCCCGAAAGTTTTAGCAATTTGCAAAAGACTCAAGGTTAATCGAGTCGTGTATTGTTCCATTTACAATCAGAGCCTTATGTATTTTTCAAACTCAATTTTTAGAATATAAGATATAAAATTTTAATATTAGAAAATACCGATTTTTAAGATATATTTGTGTGTCCTTCCTGTGTATCTGTCCGTCCGTCTGTCTGACTGTCTGTCTGTCTGTCCGTCCATCTGTCCGTCTGTCTCTCTGTCTGTCTGTCTGTCTATCTGTCCATCCATCTGTGTGTCCATGTAAACTTTGAGCTCACGTAAATAAATCTACCAATATATATGTATATATGTAAAGGTACGCCCATTTTGACTCTTTCCCCCGTATAACCCCACTTTCAGAAAATCACCTTTTTTTATCAGCAAATTGTTAAAATATTTGTGAATTAAGACAAAAATAACTTAAATGCTTTATTATTAAAGCATTTGTCATTCATATTTCATACTTTGCGGAAGTTAACAACGACTGATTTATATCGAAAATATTGACTATCGGTCAATATAAGTCGCTGTACACTAAAAAAAACTTTGAGAAATACTTCAAACTTGTTTACAACGTAAGTGCTTTGGTGTTTTTATTTCCGATCTATTGCGAGTGTAGTAATCATGTTTGTGTTGGACAACTGGCTACCGTTATCGAACTGTGAGTAATGTCGAGAATGGGACTGCATTGGCTGAAGGTATGTAAGTTCTGAAAATACCCTTTAGACCAAAAGCGAATAGCGCATTCCATTACATTGGTTATTAAACATTCCATAATTTGCTCAATAAGATCGGATAACGTGGAGATTAGCCGCATTGGAGCTGTGATTCCACATCTTTAGACTTTTTCTATTTAAGGTGTCGATTGTGTTCGATTTCATGCAAAGAATTTATAAACGATTTATATCTTTGAAAATAATATCATCAGATCTATTCGTGAGATGTAACCGGAAAACATCAACAATGCCTTGGGAAATTGGATTAAATTGGATTAACAGGATAAGGTACAGCGTAGACTAACGGGTCATTACGGTTTATATTATTGAATTTTGGAACAGCGATACGACACCGACTTCGAATTGGTCATTTTAAGCAATTTCAGAGGCCTGACATTTCGATTTATATATTATTTAATATCATCGATAAATAGCTGATGAGAAGAATAGCTTTTCACTTTGTTTTCTTTTTTAATGTTTACGCTCTTTTTTTACACTATTTTAACTTATTCTAATGTAAAGACAAACAAATTTAAATTGTGGTAAACAAAACTTTATTTTGGGAATTTTAAACAATGTTTGATCTCGTATACTGTATTGTATTTATAGTTAAACTTAATTCAAAAAATAAAACAT